AATAAATTGAACTGAAAATGACTTCAATCAAACATTGTAAATCGAAATAGGTGATTTAATTTAATTCAGATTAAACATGCTTTTATGTGGATAGAGAAAGATCAAGGGAAAAGACTAAAATATGAGTAAAACATTGAAAATATACCGAAATAAGAGTTTCATATTTTTATTTCCAAAATAGGAGTTAAAATGCATTTACATTATCAATCATGACCATGTCCATTAAAAAAAAGTATTACAAAATACTCGTGTACAGTGCTACAATACCACAATGCGAACTCCTATTTAGAAAATAGAATATATAACTCCTATTTTGGTACTTTCTCTATGTTTATTTCTATTTAGAGTGATTTCTTAAAGATAATCAACAAAGGTATCCTTAATATGTAATAGTGTAATTATAAAACTATTTCATCTCACACAACTAACCTATAACATTCTCGCGATTGAGGTAAATGGGAATCTAGTTGGTCAAATTACTGCAGATGATAGTATTGATTTAGATATATGGAAATTATCGATTGTCTGTTGCATTTTGGGGGCTAACCCACCTATCGATGTCGTTAAAGGATATGTTAATTGTATTCCCTATCAATGATGTGGATGTGCTCAAGGAAGGACATTATATTGTTACCTTCAACAAAGAAGAAGATATGAAGGAAGTAATCAAAAGGAAATATTATTATTTTGACAACAAATCAGTACTTGTCCAACAATGGAAACCAAGAAAGAAGATTAATGTTGAAGAACTTTCTGATGTCCCAATATGGGTGCAATTTCCTGAACTGGATGTTAAGTACTGGAGTCTCTCGGGTTTAAGCAAGCTGGGTAGTCTCATTGGGAAGCCCGTAAAGAGGGATAAAGCAACAACTAGGAAATCCAAGTTTGCTTTTGCCATAATTCAAATTGAGGTTCGAGTTCATTAGGACTTCCCTAAAGAAGTTGTGTTTATAAATGAAAAAGGGAGAGCTATATCCCAACATATTGACTATGAATGGTACCCATGTATTTGTGATCATTGTAAGAAGCTAGGGCACCTACAAGAGACGTGCACGAAAAAGGAGGTCAAAAAGCATGGAGAGAATCCAAGAAGAATGGTATGGAGGCCAAAGCAGAATAAGGTAATTGAGGAGGAAGATAATTCAAAGGATGGTCAAAAGGAGGGTATTCAAGAAGAGGAACCTACCCACACAGAAAGCAATCCAATAGAGGAGGGATTTACCAATGTTAGTGGAAAGAAAGCTGCGAGGAGGATTATATTAGAAGATGAAGGAGACATGCTAAGTAGTCTTAAAAAAGCCTTAGAGAAAGCCCATTATGAAGGGCATCTCCCATTCCTGAAATGATAGGGAGCTGGATTGTGAGAGGACTAAACAGTCCTAATAAACAGGAGGAAGTCAAATTTTTCTTAAATAAAAATAAGGCTGAAATATTTGGGTTATTGGAAACTAAAATAAGGAGTTGCAACTTTAGTACTATAGAGAGAAAGACGAGTCAGGGGTGGAATTATGTTGTTAATAATTCAGCTCACCCCTGGGTATAATATGGATTTTATGGAGACCTGATAAATTGAAGGTTGATGTAGAGGGCTTGACAGATCAATGGGTTCACTGCAAATGTAGAAGACTTAGTGAAGTAATTGAATTCTATGTTACCTTTGTGTATGGACATAATGAGGCTGCTAGAAAATGTAGTATGTAGAATGATCTCATGGGAATTGCATCCTCGTTTGACAACCCCTGGTGTGTTATTGGGGACTTCAACAATACTTTGAGTATGGGGGACAAGACTGGTGGCAATCCAGTCTCATTAGATGAGACCATGGAGTTTAAACAATGCATCTAAACATGTGGATTGGAGGAATTCCCAAGATGTTAAATATACTTGGTCTAATAGGCAAGACCCAAGAAGAAGGATCTTTTCTAAGATACATTGGACTTGGAAACATAGAATGGTTCAATACGTTTGATGCTAAGGTCATCATTAAGGAAGAAGAATTATCAGATCACACTCCCCTACTGGTAAAGGACTGCTCCACTGGGAGAGAGAATTTTCCTTTTAAATTTTGTGATATGTGGTGTCTGAACCCTTTATTTACCAAGACTGTCCAGAGTGTTTGGAATCAGAAGATGGAGGGAAGATACATGTTTCAGCTATCAAGCTAAGGATGCTGAAACCATTGTTGAGAGGGTTGAATAAGAGTAAATTTTCTCACATTTACCAACAATGTAATTTACCGAGGGAGGAATTGCTCCAAACACAAGAGGCAATTAAGCTGAACATGAATTGTGAGCATCTAATCACAAAGGAGCTTGAATTAATTAAGGAACTGACATGAAAATTGAAGGTTGCAAGACTTATGAAAATTCAACAAGCTAAACAAGAATGGGCCTAGGAGGGAGATAAAGACTCAAAACTTTTTCAAGCTTGGATTAAGAAAAGGAAGCTTAAAAACTATATCAGTTCTATTAAGGATTCAAATGGTCATCTGATTGAAGGGAAGACAAATATTACAGGTGTGATGGTGGATTATTTCTAGAAGTTATTGGGTAAGACTGAGTGGACAGCAGGCATCCTTAAGGAAGTTATTGAGGAAGGTAAGATGCTATCAGTAGAGCAAAAACTCCAGTGTATAGCCCCTGTAACTAAGGAGGAAGTTAAGAGGTGTAATTTTGAAATTCCAAATTGTAAAAGCCCGGGGCCTGATGGATATAACAGTGGGTTCTTTAAAAACCAATGGCTCTCGCGACTAAATCTGTCATTGAGTTTTTTCAAAATGGTTTATCCCTCCAACAGATAAACCATACTAATATCAGCCTTATACCTAAGGTGGATTGTCCTGAGCACCCAAAAGATTTCAGACCTATATCATGCTGCAATGTGGTGTACAAAGTAATTTCCAAAATTATTTGCAACAGGCTAAGGATGTTCCTCCCCCACATCATTAATGACAACCAAGGTGCTTCTATAGAGGGCAGTGAATTGGTGCATAATGTTCTCCTTTGCCAAGAGTTAGCTAGAGGGTACAAAAGAAAATGAATCAGTCCAAGGTGCCTTATGAAATTGGACTTGAGGAAAGTTTATGATTCTGTAAGCTGGAACAACTTGTTTAAGATTATGGAGGCTTTGAAGATTCCTAATAAAGTTATAGCTTGGATCAGATTTTGTGTCACAAGTGCAGCCTATTCAGTGCAACTTGATGGAGAGGTTTTTGGCTATTTCAAGGGTGGGAAGGGAATAAGACAAGGGGACCCAATGTCCCCCCCCCCCCTATTCACCCTTATTATGGAATACCTTACAAGAACCTTCAATTATTACACAAGAAAGGGTGGTTTCAGTTTCTATCCAAGGTGTAAGGGAAGGTGTAAGGGTCTGAACATTGTTTTTGAAGATGAGCTCATAGTGGCATGTAGGGGTGATCTCCCTTCAATTGAATGTGTTCTAGATGGCCTAGACCACTTCAGACAAACCACAGGTTTGCAACTTAATTATGAAAAGTCCCCGGTGTATGTTGGTGGGGTTTCTGAGGTAATGTTGGACAGAATTTTGAAGAAAACAAATATGGTTATAGGTACATTCCACTTTAGATACTTGGGAGCTCATATCTCAGATTCAAGAATTAGTGAGAAAGAATGTAATATGCTGGTTGAAAAGATGACCTTGAAAATAACCTCTTGGGCTACTAAGCATTTATCCTATGCTGGGAGAACTAAGCTGATTAACTCTGTACTCTATGGAATTGTAGATTTCTGGGGAAGAATATTCTTACTGCCAAACTCAGTCATGAGGAAAGTAATGGCACTTTGTAGAAACTTCGTTTGGAGTTCTGGACCAGCGCATAAAAGGAGTCCCCTGATAAACTAGGAGGAAGTGTGTCTTCCCAAACAAGAGGGGGGCCTAGGGCTGAAGAATCTGTTACTCTAGAATCAGACATGTATAATGAAACTCTTATGGGACATTTCTAATAAGAAAGACTCGTTGTGGGTAAGATGGGTTCACATCAAATACCTCAAGAAGGAAACAATTTGAGGGTATCATATTAAGAATGATGATTGTTATTACTGGAAGAAACCGATCAAAAACCGAAGATTATTCGAGGGGATGAATACAACCAATGGCTATACTGTGAAGGATGGTTATAATTGGCTTAAGGGAGTAAAGGAGAAACTGGCCTGAGGTGATGTGGTCTAGAGCAGATGGTCTTTGCCCAAACATCAATTTATTGCCTGGCTAATATGGAAGGGTAGGATCCAAACCAAGGATAGACTTAGCAAGTTCCTCACTATTGATGCTACATGTGTGCTGTGCGAGAAGGAGATGGAATCTGCATATCACATCTTCTGCTCCTGTTCCTATGCCAAAACAATTCATGGGAAAATGGCAAGGTGGCTAATGGTTGATGTTCCTGTTGATTCTGTCAAGGCTCTAGGTAGGAAGATGGATTTGGGAAGAAGTAGAAAACAGAAATGGAGTCTGGCTCCATGCATTACAGCGTGTTGCTACTTTATTTAGAAGGCTAGGATTGCAAAGATTCATAGTGGCAAATGGATCAATGAGGACTATACATTTCTTTGTATTAGAACAATAATGGGAATGGCTCTTGGTGGTAGAGGTATTGGGAATGGGTCCTAGATTGGATGTTTTCTTAATAGTGTGTATTAGCTGAGTTTGGGGGCTGCATGGATTTTGTATTTGATATTCTGGAGTTGAATAACAATTGTGTGCTTGGTTCAAAAAAAAAAAACTAACCTATAGCAAATAAAACCCATAATTTTCAAAGAAATCAAAATGAAAACCATAACAAAAGAAGAAAATTCCGAAACAGAAAAAAAAACAAGTGATGACTAAATCAAATCCAAATGATATCAAGAAGAATGAAATTCAAAACCAAAAACCATGGCACCAAACATTCAAATCAAATCAAATACTCCCTTGGTCCCCAAATAAAAGTTAGGGGAAGATTTGTGAGGTAAAATGGAAGTGCGCATGCACTTACTAGAAATGGGATAAGTCCATACATATCTCATTTCAACAAGTAACAACTGTCCAAAGTTTTGTATGTGGTGTTTGCAATTCTCTTCAATGAATAAGATTAAATAAAATTGACATATCTTCATAGGATAATTGTGATATTTGGGAATCATTTGATAAACAACACTGACCATGTACATACTTGAAGTTGAGCATAGACATTATGCGAGTCGGCTAGTGGCAGTGGGTATTTTCTTGATTCCGTCCATTTTCCTTTTCTTCTTATGTTTGGGATATCTTTCGTCTGCCGAGTTCCGAAATGTAATGGGCAACAAGGCTTGTTGTGTTGGAAGTTCTGAAATGAAGAGTAGAGTTTGGGCCCAACCAGCATATTTCCCATACCTGTTCACGAATGCTTCTGCCACACGACTGCACAGTTTAGGCGTCAAACGGGAACCTGCCAGCTCAGGGACGAGGTACCTAGTCGCAATCTGCCAAAAAAAACATTATAAGGAATTCTTTCTGTAGGAGGACTGGCATGCCCAAACACACAATTGACATCACAAATGACAACCGTATGTGAATTTGTATACACAGACAAAAATCATCACATACACAGCGTTCATAGACAATTATCGCCTGTGTGTGTGTGCAAATTCACAGAGGGTTGTCCTCATCCGTGGTGTCAACCATGGTGGGTTTCTAGCATTTTTGAGACTGAAACATTAGTGAATAATTTGGAAGAAATATGAAGATCACCCCCTTATGCTCATCATGGTGATTAGTCAAACACATAGAGATGGCTCAACAAGGAATACAAGGTGAAATGACTAAATAGTTAGTGGGCAGGAGTGCCGATAGCATAAAAGTAGTGTTTTGTCAAGTTAAAGTTATATGGATTAGATAACCAGTGGAAAATATTTGACCATCTTGAGTGAGTTGAAGGGGCTAATATCGAACAATCAAAGGACTTATAAATAGCTATCCTGCTTATGATGCCTTCAAGTTTAATCTCAGAATTTATTTCAACAATGTCTTCTGCACAAGGGCTATTTATTGCAAAGGGTATATATTTGCAATAATCAACATATCAAATTATGGGAGAATCTCTAGTTTCATTATGAAAAACATTGCTTCCCTATTCAAAAACAGAAAAAGACAATAATGGAATGGAAGTCTCAGAAAAAAAGGGGACTTGTAGCCCTAGAAATATTACCTGCCAAACATGAGTATCAACAGGAATGGCATGATGTTGATCCAACGAGAAGAGAGCAACACAAGCTGCCACCTTGGGACCAACACCAGGTAGAGTACAAAGACCATCAACAACCTCATTAAGTTCTCTCCCTCGAAGTGAAGCAAGCCACTGGCAACCTCCCCCTGGTTTTGATTGCAATTCCTTAACAGTGCCTGTTATATATTTCGCCCTGACCATAATCCACAAGTTTGTTATGAAAGATGTGAAAAACTTACCGATATATGTTAATGCAACCTAGCTCAAGATTAAGACAACCCAAACATCTTTACCATAGAGTCAAAGAAAATTGAAAGAGTAAGCATGTTGGCATCTTAAAAATAGAGTAAGAAAAACTGCAAGTCCAAAGATATAATCATCCACCCAAAAGTTATGTGTTTCTTTAAGTCAAGTGAGTTGAGTACGTTAACCAACTACTCACTCCATCCCAAATCAAGGCTTAACATTTGACCAGGAACAGTTGTTAAGAAGGGTGTAATTGTGTGGCTGACGTGTATGCAAAAGAGAAAAAAAGAATGTGAACCATACAATTTTTTCCTTAAACGAAAACTGAAATTCTTTTTGGAACAGACTAAAAAGGAAATATGAAACATTTTCTTGGAACTTGGAAGAGAGGGAGTAATTCCCAAAGCAATCGCGTTTAAACTGAGAGAGGACATGTTTCTCGGCACAATGCTAGAGTTGTTACCATCTCACTTGGTGGTAACAATTTGAGGCCTTTAAACAGTCTCTCATGTACTGGAATGCATGCTTTTTTGAAACTCTAAAGACTCGTGTCATTTATCTGAATGAGTTGTATACAAAAAATTACTGTGGGTGGTGTGTTATATTGCTCAAAAGGAGTCCTAATACTCCTAAATAAGGGCAAATAAAACTCTAGTCTTTTGACATTTTGCCAATGCCAGGGTAAGTCAAGGAGCAATACACTGAAAAGCGATATAGTAAATCTTAACAACAGAAATCTCTTCTAAAGATAGAATGACTAACCTATAACCAAAACCAGCCTCCCTAAGTTCAGCTTCAGAAACCTTTGACAGCCGGTCCAGGGAAGGGAACTCGTAGAATTCAAACCCTCCAACAGTCCCTATATAATTCCCCAAGGACGAAATGAAATCGACCATCAATGTGATTCTCTTAATATTGTTATTAGAAGAGCAAATGAACTGGATTAGGCACTCGACAGGGTCCTGCCGAAGGACTCTGGCCCCTCCCAAATGATCGGCTAACACACTGAATCTCTGATCTGAGGCTTTGAAGATCTCCCAAACCTCACTCAGAGAAATACCCACATTGAGAAAATCAAGCAAGGCACTGGAAAAATCATCCGCCCCGCTTGTGGAGTGCTGATGGTAACCAACGTCCCCATTCTCGAGCTGTTTCAGGGAGACCAAGTGGAAGCGGCCGACTACCCCGGTGAACTGGAGAGGACCCGTCTGCTTCCACCTGAAAGTCTGGCCTGTGGGAAAGGTCAAGGGCAGGTAGAGCTCGGTTCTGCCCAGGTTTAAGGGCACCCACTTGGGCTCTTGTTTGGTCGGAAGACTGAGGCTTGAGGGCTTCTTGGAAGGGAACAAAGACGAGATTTTTCCCGATGATGAGCGCAGAGTAAGTGACATTGGTGGGTGGAAGGTGCTGTATTCACTGTCTTGGGAAGGATATCTTTGTACTCCATATGACATTGAAGATCAATGATTCAATGCCATATTCAGAGCCTCTTTGTCACACTGTGTTGGATTAACAAAAGTGATTATTTTTGTATCACTTCATCAAAAATTCATAATCTAAAGTTAGTATCAAAAGTAGTATTGTTTGCCGCTCAAAGTGATTTATTGCCTTAACATTTAGATTTCTAACAAATAAACACATTTATTCTAATGCCTTCTTTTTTTATGGTTCCTAGGATAATATTTTTACTGATGAATGGACAAGTAGATCAAAATATCAAATCAAAGGAGAACAAAGGGATGAGAGTACCCGTACAGAAATTAGGTTTGCAACATGACGATTTATACAAATAATTGTCAAGCTATTTGGGAAAAAGAGGGAAACTTTCCGGCCGGATGTTTTGGGAGATGACAATTGGCGGGATGTTCACCAAAATTAAGGAAAAAATGAATTTGAGAAAGGGAAGTAAAAAGATAAATATATACTCCGTATGAAGGATTCTTTGTAAATTGTATGAAATTTGATAAAGCAGCATATTTTGGAAAAGGGTGGAGGGAAAATCGAAGAGGACAAGGTTAGAGAAGGTTAGAGAAAGTAGCAGAGACCTAGGGAAACTATTGTGAAAATCCTAATTTCAGTAGGTATATAAATTTTCACCGTAGAAGTTATACGCCAGAAGCAACCTTGTGAAGCTTCGGCCAAACTCAGTTTAAAGCCCATAATTGTGTGTGAAAAAATCATAAGTGGACAGCCCAAACAATATAGAATCACTTTGGACCACCACATAATCTGATAATCAGCCTAAAAAAGCAATGACAAACAGGCTCTCAGTTCGAAATCTCTGAAGAGGGGACGAGTATTCTAACTTATTAGAATTAGTCTAAGGGTGTATTCAATTAGGATTATGAAAGATTTAGATAGATGGTTTAAAGTATATGGATTATGCAAAATCTATGGATTGTTTTAAGTCTATGCAGAGTTTGATAGATTTTAATGTATTTTATTAATAGGATTTTAAAAGTTTCGGTCTGATTGTTTATAATCCATAGATTATTTATACATAAATATGAATTATTTTATACATTTATACATTGTTGTAACATGAACTATTATAATTAACTATTAAAAAACTTTGTTTATGAAATTGATAAAAAATTAAAAATAATCTAATAAAAAAAATAATTTATTTTTTTATAAAACTATCATTGTCGTAGTACATTTATTAGAGTAAAATAAGCAATTTTTTTGTATCTAAAATTGTTATTATCTCTCAGCTATTCTTCTTGTATGTTAAAACTCATAAATAATGAAATTCTAAAGACAACTCAAAAGAAGACATTATTCAAAATTTTAAAAGATAATTCAAAAATAAATTAGTAAACAACATAGTCTTCCATTTCAACATCATTATCACCAAAACCTTCTTCATTCTCCTCATTAGCATTATTTTGTGGTCTATCGGCCCACATAGCTTCAGCAATGCCATGTCTCCAAGCGTTAGCTTCTGTTCTTTGTTGTTGTTGAGTTTGAGAAAGTATTTCAAAATTTTATTCCTCCATGTCAAGATATGATGAAGAAGATGACTCAAGTTCTGGTTCAGGAGGGAATTCATTAGAACGACACTCTTTACGAAGAAAGTTGGGTAGTCCTGCACAAGCTAACACTAGCTCTGCTTGTGTTTGAAATGGAAAGGGAGGCGCATTTTTGAAAATGGTGTTACGTGATTTAAAGATACCAAATATCCTCTCAATAACATTTTTCAACGATGCATGGCGAAGATTGAACAACTCATTTGCATTTCGGGGGTGACGACCTTGACCTCCAAAATCTTTGAGATGATACCGAACACCTCGCAATGGTGCTAAAAATTGTCGTCGATTCGCAAATCCACAGTAAAAAAAATACTTTCCTAAAATAGAAACAAGATGACATATACACATAACAAATATTTTCATAAAAAAAGTAACAAATTAAATACAATAAAATTAATTTACTTACCTTGAGGCACTTCAAGTCCATTTTTTCTACATAATGCATCATTTAGGATTTTTGAATCATGTGCAGATCCTTCCCACCCACTAAGCACATATATGAATTCCAAATCAAAGTTGCAAGCTGCTAAAACATTTTGGGACTGAATACCATGACGATTACGATAACTACTTACTTGACAACCTTTTACCATTGCAGGAATATGAGTGCCATCAATGCCACCAATGCAATCCTAAAGCAAAATAAAATTGTAAAAAATAATAATTTGTAACAAATTTGTAGTTCATACATTTAAAAAATAGTAATCTAAATTGGTTCATAATCAACTTTGCATTACTTTTTGTCAAAGAAAGTACCTTAAAGTAGGGGTAAAATCTTGTGTTGCCTCTTATTTTAGAAGGCATGGCAAATCCCGGCTTGACCATCATATGTGGTGCCATAGTGTTTAACGCCTTCAAAACTTTGTTAAAGTTTTGACTAGATGCGAAATGTGAACGACCAAATCTTTGACGAACATTACAATACCGATCATTGTGACCCACAATGAGTAGAAATGTTGCTATCATTTCTTCAACACAAATATATCTCGTATCTTCTAAAGGCGTACCTTCTCTGATAACGGTACATAGCTTAAGAAACACATCAGGATACATTCTACACAGCTCTCGAAAGCTTTGTGGATTTTCTTTCAACACTCCATGTATATAATAATATCCTTTTGTAGTTGCCTCTCTTAAAACAATCATTATTGCTTGAATGGCCAATAATAAGTACTTGATAGTTTCATAGAATTCCTCTTCAGTTCCTTCTTCATCTATTTCTTCTCTTCCTATCACTTCTTCTTCCATTTATCTATATGACCAAGCACATATAAAGTAAAATTAACCCCTTCTTTACATATATGCATACCAAAATAAATAATTAACAGATAAGTAGACATATGCAGAGTAATAAATCTTCTTTCCGGCATTTTGTCCTATACATACTAGTGGTCCCAAAGTGGTGAGATACAAAGTCTAGAAGGGGGGGGGGGGGTGAATAGACTTTGTTACAATTTAAAAACTTTTTCGTTTCTTTTGAAAATGTGAAAATGAGTGTTTAATCTAGAGTTCTTGTGAACCTTAGATTGTGTGCGGAAGTTGGTGGGTTATTAGAGCAGTAATGTAACGCCCCGAAACCTGGCCCAAAAGAATTAATTAAATTGTTAGAGCAATTGATTACGAATTGGGCCCAAATAGGGGTTAAAATTATAATTTGGATTTTAAGCCCAACTTTTATTTCATCTCGTAGGAAATATTTTTTTGATCGCGTCGGTTCAGACGGTTCGCGAATCGGAGTTACAGAGCTCAAGTTATGACAATTTAATCAGGTATTTTGGGTCCGAAGCCCAATCCTTTTTGGAATGGGACCATTAAATAAACCTAACCACATATATCTTATCTTTTCGTCCGTCCTTTCTTCTTCTTTCTTTCTTTTTCTTTCTTTCTTTTTCTTTCTTTCTTTCTTCTTCTTCTTCCTTCTCCTTCCTTCTTCTTCTCTCTTCTCCGCCCAGCCAACCTCGCCGCCGGAAGTCGCCGCCATCATCGCCGCCAGCCAGTCGCTCGCCGCCGGAAGTCGCCGCCATCACCGCCGTCGCCTTCTCCAATCTCGCCGCACCAGGTCGCTCATCGTCCGCTGCCGTTGAGTTGCAGCGCCGCCGTCGCCAAGCTAGCCTCGCCGCCGGAAGCCAGAGGCCATCGCCGCCGTCCAATTGGAACCGCCAGCCGCCGGCGTCGCCTTCCCCAGCCTCGCCGACGGATTGCANAGAAGGAAGAAGAAGAAGAAAGAAAGAAAGAAAAAGAAAGAAAGAAGAAGAAAGGACGGACGAAAAGATAAGATATATGTGGTTAGGTTTATTTAATGGTCCCATTCCAAAAAGGATTGGGCTTCGGACCCAAAATACCTGATTAAATTGTCATAACTTGAGCTCTGTAACTCCGATTCGCGAACCGTCTGAACCGACGCGATCAAAAAAATATTTCCTACGAGATGAAATAAAAGTTGGGCTTAAAATCCAAATTATAATTTTAACCCCTATTTGGGCCCAATTCGTAATCAATTGCTCTAACAATTTAATTAATTCTTTTGGGCCAGGTTTCGGGGCGTTACATTACTGCTCTAATAACCCACCAACTTCCGCACACAATCTAAGGTTCACAAGAACTCTAGATTAAACACTCATTTTCACATTTTCAAAAGAAACGAAAAAGTTTTTAAATTGTAACAAAGTCTATTCACCCCCCCCCCCCCTTCTAGACTTTGTATCTCACCACTTTGGGACCACTAGTATGTATAGGACAAAATGCCGGAAAGAAGATTTATTACTCTGCATATGTCTACTTATCTGTTAATTATTTATTTTGGTATGCATATATGTAAAGAAGGGGTTAATTTTACTTTATATGTGCTTGGTCATATAGATAAATGGAAGAAGAAGTGATAGGAAGAGAAGAAATAGATGAAGAAGGAACTGAAGAGGAATTCTATGAAACTATCAAGTACTTATTATTGGCCATTCAAGCAATAATGATTGTTTTAAGAGAGGCAACTACAAAAGGATATTATTATATACATGGAGTGTTGAAAGAAAATCCACAAAGCTTTCGAGAGCTGTGTAGAATGTATCCTGATGTGTTTCTTAAGCTATGTACCGTTATCAGAGAAGGTACGCCTTTAGAAGATACGAGATATATTTGTGTTGAAGAAATGATAGCAACATTTCTACTCATTGTGGGTCACAATGATCGGTATTGTAATGTTCGTCAAAGATTTGGTCGTTCACATTTCGCATCTAGTCAAAACTTTAACAAAGTTTTGAAGGCGTTAAACACTATGGCACCACATATGATGGTCAAGCCGGGATTTGCCATGCCTTCTAAAATAAGAGGCAACACAAGATTTTACCCCTACTTTAAGGTACTTTCTTTGACAAAAAGTAATGCAAAGTTGATTATGAACCAATTTAGATTACTATTTTTTAAATGTATGAACTACAAATTTGTTACAAATTATTATTTTTTACAATTTTATTTTGCTTTAGGATTGCATTGGTGGCATTGATGGCACTCATATTCCTGCAATGGTAAAAGGTTGTCAAGTAAGTAGTTATCGTAATCGTCATGGTATTCAGTCCCAAAATGTTTTAGCAGCTTGCAACTTTGATTTGGAATTCATATATGTGCTTAGTGGGTGGGAAGGATCTGCACATGATTCAAAAATCCTAAATGATGCATTATGTAGAAAAAATGGACTTGAAGTGCCTCAAGGTAAGTAAATTAATTTTATTGTATTTAATTTGTTACTTTTTTTATGAAAATATTTGTTATGTGTATATGTCATCTTGTTTCTATTTTAGGAAAGTATTTTTTTTACTGTGGATTTGCGAATCGACGACAATTTTTAGCACCATTGCGAGGTGTTCGGTATCATCTCAAAGATTTTGGAGGTCAAGGTCGTCACCCCCGAAATGCAAATGAGTTGTTCAATCTTCGCCATGCATCGTTGAAAAATGTTATTGAGAGGATATTTGGTATCTTTAAATCACGTAACACCATTTTCAAAAATGCGCCTCCCTTTCCATTTCAAACACAAGCAGAGCTAGTGTTAGCTTGTGCAGGACTACCCAACTTTCTTCGTAAAGAGTGTCGTTCTAATGAATTCCCTCCTGAACCAGAACTTGAGTCATCTTCTTCATCATATCTTGACATGGAGGAATAAAATTTTGAAATACTTTCTCAAACTCAACAACAACAAAGAACAGAAGCTAACGCTTGGAGACATGGCATTGCTGAAGCTATGTGGGCCGATAGACCACAAAATAATGCTAATGAGGAGAATGAAGAAGGTTTTGGTGATAATGATGTTGAAATGGAAGACTATGTTGTTTACTAATTTATTTTTGAATTATCTTTTAAAATTTTGAATAATGTCTTCTTTTGAGTTGTCTTTAGAATTTCATTATTTATGAGTTTTAACATACAAGAAGAATAGCTGAGAGATAATAACAATTTTAGATACAAAAAAATTGCTTATTTTACTCTAATAAATGTACTACGACAATGATAGTTTTATAAAAAAATAAATTATTTTTTTTATTAGATTATTTTTAATTTTTTATCAATTTCATAAACAAAGTTTTTTAATAGTTAATTATAATAGTTCATGTTACAACAATGTATAAATGTATAAAATAATTCATATTTATGTATAAATAATCTATGGATTATAAACAATCAGACCGAAACTTTTAAAATCCTATTAATAAAATACATTAAAATCTATCAAACTCTGCATAGACTTAAAACAATCCATAGATTTTGCATAATCCATATACTTTAAACCATCTATCTAAATCTTTCATAATCCTAATTGAATACACCCTTAGACTAATTCTAATAAGTTAGAATACTCGTCCCCTCTTCAGAGATTTCGAACTGAGAGCCTGTTTGTCATTGCTTTTTTAGGCTGATTATCAGATTATGTGGTGGTCCAAAGTGATTCTATATTGTTTGGGCTGTCCACTTATGATTTTTTCACACACAATTATGGGCTTTAAACTGAGTTTGGCCGAAGCTTCACAAGGTTGCTTCTGGCGTATAACTTCTACGGTGAAAATTTATATACCTACTGAAATTAGGATTTTCACAATAGTTTCCCTAGGTCTCTGCTACTTTCTCTAACCTTCTCTAACCTTGTCCTCTTCGATTTTCCCTCCACCCTTTTCCAAAATATGCTGCTTTATCAAATTTCATACAATTTACAAAGAATCCTTCATACGGAGTATATATTTATCTTTTTACTTCCCTTTCTCAAATTCATTTTTTCCTTAATTTTGGTGAACATCCCGCCAATTGTCATCTCCCAAAACATCCGGCCGGAAAGTTTCCCTCTTTTTCCCAAATAGCTTGACAATTATTTGTATAAATCGTCATGTTGCAAACCTAATTTCTGTACGGGTACTCTCATCCCTTTGTTCTCCTTTGATTTGATATTTTGATCTACTTGTCCATTCATCAGTAAAAATATTATCCTAGGAACCATAAAAAAAGAAGGCATTAGAATAAATGTGTTTATTTGTTAGAAATCTAAATGTTAAGGCAATAAATCACTTTGAGCGGCAAACAATACTACTTTTGATACTAACTTTAGATTATGAATTTTTGATGAAGTGATACAAAAATAATCACTTTTGTTAATCCAACACAGTGTGACAAAGAGGCTCTGAATATGGCATTGAATCATTGATCTTCAATGTCATATGGAGTACAAAGATATCCTTCCCAAGACAGTGAATACAGCACCTTCCACCCACCAATGTCACTTACTCTGCGCTCATCATCGGGAAAAATCTCGTCTTTGTTCCCTTCCAAGAAGCCCTCAAGCCTCAGTCTTCCGACCAAACAAGAG